CGAATGGTATGATTGGTGTGCTTTTTAACTGTGTATGGTCTTTATGTTTTTTATTTTGTCTGTTTTTCCCCTCCCTTGAACTGGGAGCCGCCCTGAGTCCCTTCAGGGAAAAGGGCGGCATACAAATAAAGTAAATTAAAAAAATTAAAATTAATTACATTAATTTCCTTCCCCTCCCCTCCCCTTTCAGGGATGGCCAAGAGAGTGTGAAGACAGTAGATGTAACTCTGAACTTGCTTTTTCTTCCTTTCTTCCAGGAGACCCAGAAGGAAGGCAGCAGGTTCCCACATCACCACCACCCTCTGAAAACAGCAGTGCAGGCCACAGCATCGGCAGCACACAAAGCACCCCCTGTTCCAGCAGCAGCAGGGCCTAACACAGGAGGCAGGACGGAAATGCACGCAGCGTCATCAGAGACCAAGAGGTTCAAAAACACAGCTGTTTGTTGCCTTTTGCTTCCACTGGTTTGGATCCCTTGGCAAAATGAGAAGGCGTTTCCTTCTTTTCTTCAGCTTTTTCCGGATAAACGTGGTCCTTGAATCTCCCGCCGCATGCTAAGGCTACAAGTGACGGAGCTACTCCATTTGTGCAGCTGTGGACCGGGTACAAAGGTCCACGCATTCTCAATGTGAAACACAACTTCCCCCACCCCCCCTGTAAATGCTGCTTTGTCTCCATAGAGAATCTCCATAGAGAAGCTGAGTTTTGCAAACATGTAGGAGACGCCAGGTGTCGGCAAAAGGGATTTCAGTCTTATAAGCTGGGGAAGGGGGTTGGTTGTTGTTGTTGTTGTTGTTTCTTAACCTCCCTCGCTCCCCACTGGGCACAAAAGCAGGGTGGTTTCAAACGCCACATTTGAAACTGATTTCCTCCGATACACAACGCAGGTCACCGTAGCTGTGTCACTGTGTAATTGTTGAGCTTGACTTCGGAAAGCTTTTTCCCCGCTGGTTGTGCTGTTCTCCATTGAAAGGATTTGTATCCACTGAAGCTTTTGAAAGGAAAGCAGCATACAGGGGCTAAAAATACTTGTTGGTTAGATATTTGTAATTACTTATCCTTTCTTCTCATATATCCAAAAGCTTGTTTGAATACTTAGGGTAGCTTTAAAGGTTGCTCCATTCCCCCCCCCTTACTGGGAACTACCTTCCCCCCCCACCCCCAGGACGGAGCGGCTTGTCTCACCCTGTAACCTAAGATTTCTCTACAAGGCGCTCTTTGTATTCTGCATGCTTTTCACCTGCTCTTTGTCTCGTGGCGATTTGCATTAAGCCATCACATGGTCCTCTCTCACAGCCTTGCTTCATGAAAGGGAGGGGTCCCCGGGCCACGGACTGGTCCATGGCTGTGGCCGCACAGCTGGAGGTGATCGAGCAAAGCTTCATCTGTATTTGCAACTACTCTCCAGTAACTAGCATCACAGCCTCAGCTCCACCTCAGATCATCAGGCATGAGATTCTCATAGGTGAACAGCCCCTTCTCTACACTGCGCATGCGTCGGATCTAGGTTGTGCGCTCCTCCCCCCCCCCTCCTTGGTCTGTGGAAAGATTGTGCTCTACAAAACCGGGCCCTGGTGCCAAAATGTTTGGAGACCGCTAATGGGAGATGTGCTTGCAGATGTAACCGCCTCCCTACTCACTGTTGTGTTAGATGTTGCTTCGTAGATGCATTTCCACTGAGTGAGTTTTCAGAATTGTCTACGGCTTTTACATAGAATGCGGAAATCTTGTTTTTTCTGTAAAGGCCATGCCCAGCGATATAGCCATGAAGCTATATTCTGGGAGGGGATGGATAGGTTGCATTATGATTGTACTTGGAAGTTCAGGATGGGGTTATTTCATTGGCCAATTTTGAACTTAGGCATGCCTGAATACGCTTCACCAAAGGAAGGAAGGATACAAAAACTAAAATGGTTCCCTGATATATTTTCCAGATACTTTCACGTTATTTTCAGAGCCATCTATTGTCAGACATTCATTTTGATCGGATTTGTGGCCTCAAAGTATCTGGAGATGTTTGCAGAATACATGTGGCCATGCTTAACATGACACATTGTGTATATATTGCTGACTTCTAAAAGTATACACTAATACTCAAATTCAATTCTGTACCCCATGAGAATGCTCTGCCTTAAAAATAGCCAGCTTTTTAAACTTTAGGTTATTGAAAATCACTAAGGCCAAATATTGTGGATTCAGTTTTCTATCGTGTTACTTTTTTTTCGCTTGTTTAGTGCTCAGTGGAGACAACTATTGAGTCATGCTGTTGTTTATGTTGTTATAGCATGGATAGCAATAAGATGTCCCCTGTAAAAGCTTCCTTCTATTTTGATTCCAACTCATCTCAGCTTCACAATTGGAAATACATCAAAGTAACACTTGAACTGGCATGAAATTGTAAAAATATTATCATTTTGAGAACCGAAAGCAAAATAAGCCCAGTTATTACTTTGCGGATTATCATAAGTATTAGTCTGATAACTTCAGACATTCGTGTTTTTTCAAATTTCTGTAGCTGAATTTTTACTAGAGCAACTTACTATCCAGTTGCAAGGGAATTGTGCCCATTCTAAGCTAAGATGGCATACATTCACTTTGCATAGTCATATTGGTGGATACTTAGAACATAAAGATTATTTTAACTGAGGTATTTAAATATGCGTTGAACAAAATGTTCTATAAATTACCTTCAACACAAATGGTTAGACTAGTGATTGCAAACCTTTCCTGTGTGAATCAGTTCATTTTTATCACTATGATCACTGTTGCCACCACCAAAAGCTTTAAACATGTAAAAATATTGCGCAATTGTGGTAATCCCATCTGAAATTTTATGAGATTTTGGAGGAGGAAACAAAAATGTAAGATTAGCTGATTTCCTGAGATTTTGGCCATTCCAAAACATAGGAAGCCGAGGTGGTGCAGTGGTTAGGGTGCAGTACTGCAGGCCACTTCAGCTGACTGTTATCTGCAGTTCAGCGGTTCTAATCTCACCAGNTTGCTATTGCTATTGCTATTGTTTTATGTGTCATTGTGTGTACTCCCTTCCCTATACGTTGTAAGCCGCCCTGAGTCCCCTCAGGGAAAAGGGCGGCCTATAAATAAATTTATCTAATCTAATCTAATTCCTGTCTAACCAAGCATATATTTTAAGAGTGTTGAATGCCTTCATATTCTAGATTGAGAATATTCTCTAGAAAAAGATGACAAAATACATTTACTGTTTTCTGTAGCTTATTAGGGGGCTTGTATTAAGCTAGTTTCTTTTCCCATTCAAGGTTTTTTATTTTTAAAAACAAATTATACATATTATAGAAACAAAAGAGTTGTCCAGATCTTTTCTTTTACCACTCTCAATTACATAGTCCTTTTTGCATCGTAGTTTTGGGTTCACTTTCAGCTAAATTATTCTCTTCCATTATTTTTCATCTTTCTAGTTATTTTTTCTTAATACATAAAATCTTCAATTTTCTTAATACATAAAATCTTCAATTGCCCCTTCAAAATTACACCAAATTTTGATTTCTTATTTTCTCCATTGGTATGTTTTGCTATAAACAACATACATCCTCTAATTCAATTTAAGCATAGGGAGCATTTCTTTCAAATTTTTCCCACCATTAAACAATAGACTTATCATTTCTTTATTTCTTAATTAGTTACACAACAATAACAATCTTACTACTATTCTATTTAGAGCAACACAACAAAGCGTAGTGCTTTCCAGTCAAAGGGAGGAGACAGTACAATTATTTTGCAACACTTAAGACGCCAAGCATTTGTGTAAATAGGAACGCCCCCAAGCAAACGAACATTTCGCACTGCAAGTATACTTGAATTGAGCTCAGGTGGGAAAAGGGAATTAGTAAAAGCAAATAATCTTTTTTTAGTGAAGTCTTGCAGAGGGTTTCGCTACCTGATTAGGTAACATCCTTACTGCAAGCAAGTGTAAGGTTTTCTCCCTGTTTATATATAGTAACTTTCCTTGCTATCCATTTATCCATCCATCTATCTATCCATCCATCCATCTATCTATCCATCTATCTATCCATCTATCCATCCATCTATCCATCTATCCGTTTATCCATCCATCCATCCATCCATCCATCCATCTATCTATCCATTTATCCATCCATCCATCCATCCATCCATCTATCCATCTATCCATTAAACATCCATCCATCTATCTATCCATCCATCCATCTATCCATCCATCTATCCATCCATTTATCCATCTATCCATCCATCCATCCATCCATCTATCTATCCATCTATCTATCCATCTATCCATCCATCTATCCATCTATCCGTTTATCCATCCATCCATCCATCTATCCATCCATCTATCTATCCATCCATCCATCTATCTATCCATCTATCTATCCGTTTATCCATCCATCCATCCATCCATCCATCCATCCATCCATTAAACATCCATTCATCTATCTATC